TGTGCCGAAATAGGTGGCGGGGACGCATGCGGGCTGCGCCACAGGGACCTTCGGTGGAGCTCCGTACGGGGCCACGAAACATGTGAGGGGTGTGCCGAAATGGGTGGTGGGACCTTCGGTGGAGCTCATACGGGGCCACGAACCGTGTGAGGGATGTGCCGAAATGGGTGGCGCCTCTGGTGGGAACCTCGGTGGAGCTACTATGGGACCACGAAACGGGGGTGTGCGGAAATGGGTGGCCGAGACGCATGCGGTCTGCGCCACTGAGCACTCGGTTGAGCTCATATGGGGGCTACGAAACATGTGAGGGTCTGCCGAAATGGGTGGTGGGGACGCATGTGGGAATCGCCACTGGGACCTTCGGTGGAGTTCCTATGGGGCCACGAAACGTGTGAAGGGTGTGCAGAAATGGATGGCGGGTGGCGCAACTGGGACCTTCGGCGGAGCTCAAATGGAGCCACGAAACGTGTGAGGGGTGTGCCGAATGGGTGGCGTGGCCGCATGCGGGCTGCGCCACTGGGACCCTCGGTGGAGCTCATATGGTGCCACGAAACGTGTGAGGGGTGTGCAGAAATAGGTGGCGGGGACGCATGCGGTCTGCGCCACTGGGACCCTCGGTGGAGCTCCTATGGGGCCACGAAACGTGTGAGGGATGTGCCAAAGTGAGTGGGGTGACGGGAGGAGGAAGGAGGAGGAGGAGGAGGAAGGAGAGGAGAGGAAACGCGGGGCGCCGTCTCTTCAAGAAGAGGGCCCAGGCCACATCAAGGAGGAGGCCGGGTCCTCGAGGACGGTAGGGATGCCGAGGCGACGACGAGCTCTGATGACTCGCAGAGGGAAAAAGAGCTGAGCCATTCCATGACGGGCCCCAGCGGCCGGGCAGCGAGGGAAGGCTCCAAAGTGCCGAGGGAAACCTGACCGTGCACCAGCTGGAATCGGGACGTCCGCGGCGGGTCTGGGACCAGCTGTTGCAAAGCGTGCTCAGCCAAGCAGCTAGAACAGTCCCACAATCCCAAGAGGGCCCGTCCAGGAGGGCCCGTCGAATGGCGAAGCGATCGAGATCGAAGCAAGGACGCGAAAAGATACGGGCAGCTATCAATCCACACCCACGATGTCGGACCCTCTCCAAGAAACCCCAACATTCATACCGGGCCACGCTGGGCAAAGCGGCACGCAGAGAAAGAGCGGAAGCGAGCTACAATCTGCCCGTCACTCAGCCACGCGCCAGCGCTGGTGCCTGGCCGGGCGGCAGCCTTGCAGCCTTGGGCAGCGCCAGCTCGGTCCCGGCGAACCGACAAGACGAGGTTGACCCGCAGGGGAGGGGGGGAGGAGGGGGGAGAGGAGGACAAGAAGGAGGAGGAAAAAGGGAGGAGGAGGGAGGAGGAGGAGGAGGAGGGCCCCCCGCGCTCCTTGCGCGACGACTCCTGCGCTCCTCGCGCGTCCCCACCACGGGCACAATTCACGAAACGACTGTGCGATCAAGTCGTATCGTGTCGTATCCCTCACTTCTCCTCCTCCTCCTCCTCCT